AATGATATGTTTGACCAGTTATAATGAATTTGACAGACAAACCTTATTTGAAGTCGAACTTTAATCCAGGTATATACGTAGATCTGAAATGCCACTAATGTTTTATGATCACTTTGCCAAATAAAATAGTGGTGTGCATGGTTTTCTGGGTTTCTCTAAGTCCATTTGAATAAGTGGAAAGACATTAGTGATTGATATTTTCATTAGTATCAAGCTAATTACTTGTAAAGTATACATATTCTTTACTGTTCATAGACATTACTGTTCCTAGACAAAATATTTACATAAATATATTTTTTCTGAATGCGTTTTCCGGGACTTAGAGTCGCACAGGGTCAATTTTGAAAACTTTTCCAAACGAATGTTTTGAGTTTTAGATCTCTCCAACTATACTCTTAATAACAATATTTGTCAACTTTCAATTTTAATACAACAGAGCTGAAGAGGATTCGAGAAATTTGCAATGAATTCGGAATAAAAAAATTTTTCCAAAATTGTTTGCTTAAAAACCATCTTTGCATTATTCTAAACAAAGTCTTTAAGATTCACAATGAGTGAATTAGCGATCTATCATTCTGCAGTGCCCACACAAAATGTTTGTTTAATATTTATGTAGTATACATAGATTTCTGTGTTAAATAAAAAAAAAAAAATTTTTATCTTAAAGCGGATAGTGAAGCGGTAGAACATATAGTGAAACTATACAAGCACTTTTCTTAATTTGTTAAAAATTTGCTAAAAACGAACCAGAGATCACCGGGTTTAGTCGAAGTAAATTCAAGAAATGCAATTTTTTTATCTAATTTTTAGAAACCACAGTCTAAATCCAATTAACTTTGATAAAGAAAATTTGTTTATGTTATAAAAGTTAAATTAAATTCAACATCAAAACTGATTTTTTACATTTTATTTGTATATGTATGTACATAAGACGTAAAACAAAAAAAAATTTTTGTTCTGCTATTTTTTTCTCTTCCTCTTAAATTAATTTTCATATTTGAAATTTTACACGTTATTATATTTATAGTTCAATTAAATATTGGAAAGGTTAATAAACTTTTTAGTAATTATAATTGTTTAGATAATTTTTGTTTAAGTTAAACACAATTTTAAAAATTGGAACGACCCATTAAGCTAAAATTAAAATTAGCAGAAATGAGAAAAATTTTTTTTTATTAGTCTATTGTTCCATTTATATTTAACAAAAGAAACTATTAATTTAATAACTTAATTCTTATAATTTGAATTTTTCGATTTAATAGACCAAAGTTCAGGTGAACTAATTAAATGAACTAATTATAAAGTATGTTTTTCCTTGAACATTCAAAAATGGTCTGACTTAGAATTAGCTGTTGAATTTAGTTGATTTATAACTGGTTTGAAGGACAAAGTATTTTAAAAATAATTAGTATAGATTAATTCATGCCACTATTCGAACAGCACAAAAAGGTCTGGTGAAGTTTTTTGATAAAATCAAACTTTTTCTACTTAAATCTCGGTAGTATATTACTCGTAGAAGAAGATATTCTGCATTACAGCATTTTCAAATTTTGATCTTCAGCCGTAAATTTAAAATTCCAAAAAGCCTAATTAATTTTTAGCACTTTTCCAAAATATTTTTGAAGAAAAATGCTTATTAGATTCATCCTGATCCTCCGTCCGTCTATAGACATGTATACAAAACTTCTATAGATCTATACCGTAAACTTATTTCTGTTGAAGAAAATTTTACGAAAATGGCTGGCTACTTCTACCGCGGCGTAGCATATTTGAACTTTAAAATAACAAAATAGCCGTTAAAATTTACCTTCATCTAAAATCCCTTTTTTCAAACTTTTGATATCGTGTTTCTTCTATACCATGTTGTAGTGGTCTAAAATTTTGGCAGCTTTTAGACACTGATAAATAGTGCATTTCGTTGGAAGAAAATTTTTTCCACCTCTACCCCGTTTCAAGTTAACCCCACTTTAAATTTGTAAAATTTGAATTTTTGGCACCTTATATTTCCGAAACTGCATAAGCCTTTCAAATTTTAATTTTTCATGCAATTTCATGTTAATGCCACTTTCAATTTTTTTTGTTATTTTAAAAATTGCATACATTGCTTATCCTAAATGTATGCAATCCTTGAAATATATTCGTGGTTTGTTTTTAAAAGCAATATTTTTACTTGATGAAAGGACAAGTGCTACATTACAAACTATTGGCTTGACCCAACTTTATTTTTTTTTTCATTCATGTGAAAGTGACAAAAATGTCTCAGAGTTAATTTTATTTTCAATTTTTTAAGAAATTCTTTTTATTGTATTTATTTTTAAATTTAAATTAAGTAAGCGTGGGTTATTTAATTTTGGTTTTGATTGGCCGAAAAGAAAAAAAAATTCAAAGTAAAGTAATTTTCAATTAAGAAGAGAATTTAAATGAACCACTATAACTTGTTTTTGGCACATTTCCAAAAATTTTCCAAAAAGAAAGTATCCATTGGCTTCACTCTATCTGTCTGAAGATTTGGCTGCCTATCTATTCTTTTATTTATTCACAAAACTTCTAAAACCTTCAAAATAAAAAAATAATAACCTTCAGTACACAAATACTGAACAAATACGTCTTGGTGGAAGCACTCTTCCTATTGAAAAAAAGTTCATATTCCCTGTCCCCTTTAAGTTATATATCACTTCTCCTCTTCCTCTTAAATTATTACAGCTCAAAAATTGTACAAGCTATAAGCTCTTTCGAATTGCTATGCAATTCAAAATGTAACTGTAATTGTCGTCCTTTTAGTCGAAAATTCTTCTTCCAACATTTCTCCTTAATTTATGCAAAACTATGTGGCAATTAAACAATTGTTTTAGTAGATTGTTTTCATTACTTAGACCTAAAGCTATACAAACAAAATAAATCAAAATGTACATTTTGCAAACAATGGGTTTCCTTGACTACGCATTTTTAGTTCTTATTCTTGAAATATCACCGAAAATTTAATAATTTTTTTTGTTAACCCTAATAAATTATTAAATTAATTAATCCAACAGGATCTTACCAGACTATTTATATATTCTTCTTTGTAAAATCGTTTTTTATTTTAATTTTAATTAAATAACCAGCCACAAATACAACAAAAAACAAAAAAAAGAATTTTATGAATCATTAAATTAAATTTGGTTAAAAAAATCGTAAATGGTGATCAAAACTTTAATTGACTGAAGAGAGAAAAAAAAAAAGCAAACATTCATTTTTTATTTCTCATAAATTTTAAAATTTATTCAAAAAATCTCGATATTCAATATCCTCTAGAATATTTGAACAAAAAACAAAGAAATTGCTAAAAAAAAAAAAGCAGAGGAGAAATTTAAATCAAATAAAGACAAAAATTTCATCATTTAAGAATGTTGTCTTTACAATTAATTTGAATGAAGTCAGAATAAAATTTTCTCCATAAAATTTTTTTCAAGGCCAATTTAATAAAAAAGAATTTTTTTTAAGTGAAAGAATAATATATTTTGCATTTGATTCAAAGACTTGGAGATTATATAAAAGGTAACCTTAAAATATTTGCAAGGTGAAAGTTATTTTATTGAAAATTATGTTACCGTGGAAGTAGGGTAAATTAACAATTGATTTGCAAATATTTTATGTAAATTTTGTTTTGACATGGTTCGTACTTAATTTTAACAATAGATTAATATTAAAAACATTAGTTTTAGCTTATTGCAAAATTAATTTTTAAATTAATTATCAAATTTTGGAATTTGATTTACATTTTTAATTTACAGCTTTTAATTTAATACCATAACTAAAAAAAAAACAATATAAAATCACACTATCATGGATCCCAAAATCATGTAGGGGGATGTCACGAAAACGAAGGCAGACTCACCAAGTTTAACGCTTGAAAAACAATATTTACTATGTTTGGCTCTTCTTGTGATCGGACAATTTCTTTGAAGTCTGGAAAACGGCATCAATATACGAAAAGTATTTTTTTAAGACTTATAAGAAACTACCACACATATTCTTTGCAATAAAAGTTGACTTGCACAGGTTTAAACTCTTGAAATGTTACATTGCAGCAAGTATCGGTATATGAAAATAGTGGCTATATAAGTCTTAAAAATGTGTTTTAATTCGTGTGACATAAGATATCACAATAAACATATTAAATCAAATGAATTACGAAAGCAGCAAGCGACAGAATATAATATATATATATATATGCATACTTATAATCCAGAAATATCAACAATTTTGCAATTAAGCTCTATATGCAACAAGCTACATAATATCTTTATTTTGTCATTTGCGAGAAATTTGTTCGCTAGAGGTTGAATTGAAAATATACCTTTTACTATAACGGAAGTTGTAAGTACAATTTCAAAGACTGGAAGTTCAATTTCAAAGACCATTTCATTTACGGTTTGTGTACAATAAAAAAAATAATCAATTGTTATAATTATAAAATACATTGAATTTATGTACTATAAAACAATTCATACGAATACTAATTAGCACTAATGTCCAACCAAAAATTATTTTTAACATACGATTCGATTTTTAAAATGCGTAATTTTATATTCTTTTCTTATGAATTAACAGTATATTGTATAAATTCGTATTTAATTAAGTATACATACAAATATTATACACAAACATATTATTTATTTTATTTTTATTGTTTTCAAATATGGCGCCGCAAAACAATATTTGCATTTCCTTCAATTAAAAGCAGGTCATGTGAAAGGAAATTTTTAAGCCTTTGATGTAATGACTAAATACCATTAAAAATACTATATAAAATACGCGACAGAAAAGAAAATATACTATTAAATAATCCTTTAAATATTATGCATTTGAATAGAAACAAAAATATAAGAGAAAAATTACTAAATGGGAATTTCTATTTTGCATATAGACCTTTCTTTTGTTTTTTGTACAAATGTGTAAATAATGTACTTATATAATAAGAAAAATATATACAATAAAAAAAATATTTATATACTTACTAAAATCTATCAATAATCGGCCATAACCTTTTCTTTGATAAGGTGGTAATGTAAGAATGCATGACACATTATAATTTAAAAATGAATTTTTTTCCTGAAAGTAAAAATGAAAAAAAAAATCAAAAATTTAGTAAGGTATAAAAAGAGAGAAAATATTCGCAAATTCAATGACTCTTAAGTTTTACTAAATATTTCACATATACATATATATTGTATAAAATGTTAGTGTAAGTTAGTTCGATAAAAACAACCTATAATTAAAAGGAATCGACAAACACAAAAAAAGAGAAATAGCTATGTACAATAAAAAAAAATTTGCAAAACACACGAGAAAAGAATAATAAAACCCCTATGAATCAGATTAATCATCTATGCGGTCGAAATTCCGAATATGTAAAACACAAGAAAAAAACCTTAGGAAATTAAAAAGCCACTTTTAATTTTTTTTGTTATATACTTATATACATATATCAAAAAATTAACTATTATATAGAGGCGTACGTGGACAAGTTAGTGATTACAAAATATCAAGTACATTTGCACTTAATACCAAATATTAGAATTTTAAATTATTTACACAGTAAAAGGCTGAAAGAAAGAACAAATTTGCGCCAATTGTCATATTTGACTACGCGCAATTATGTCGTACATTTTTATATCGTATATCGTATGCCGATAAGATCACAATTTTTGGAGTCCAAACTTGATATAAGATATAACAAACAAAAATCTCGAACATGCTTTAAAAGCATTCTGAAATGATGTTTTATGTCAATTTTGTATCCCATAAAAGTTACGGGACATAAACAATGTTATGATTTTAAACAAATTTGTTATAAATCATTAAATAAGAATGTAAAAAAGTTTATCAAAGTATGAAATTATTTTGCAAATTGTTTATAAAAAAGCTACAAAAACAACCAAAATATTTTTCTCGCGACATTTCATTCTCATACTCATGTTTACTGGCGATATAAAATACTAAAAATATTACCAAATTTCTATACTTTTCCATGTTATCATTCCTATGAAATGCAACAGTTTATGTCGGCGCGACAATTGTACTTGTCATAATATTTGTTATACTGAAAACAAATTGACCAACACTGTCATATACATATGTATGTACATTTTATAATGCTAACAAAGTAAACTTTTTAAAAATCTATTTTGCAATATGTATAGCTGTTAAGTTTCAAATATTAAAATATTGTTACCTAATAAGGTATCAATATATGTATGTATTGTATTGAAAAGGTAAACGGAATACGATTACTTTTGTGAAATTGAAAAAAGTGCTTATTAGTTTCACTCTATCCGTTCGTCCATCCGTTCGTCAGTCTATCCGCATGTGTATTTACAAAACTTTCATCGATTTTAAGGCAGAGACCAGAAATTTTTTAAGAAACTTTTTAGCTAAATCCGCTCTATAAAAGTTATAGCCCCTCAGCTATATTTTAATAGCATTTTTTGACTTTTTAATGCATTAAACCCACAAACATTCTTTAATTCATTTTCTTAAACCCCACAAACATTTTTCTTTAATTTTTCATTTCGTGTTTCTTCGAAGTTATAATAACGTCAAATTTTCGCAGTTTTTAAATTTTAATAAACAATTTATTTCGTTAAAGAAGAAAATTCATTTCCACTACTACCCCCTTTGAAATTACCTCCTCTAGAGATTCGTAAAATAACAATTTTCGAAGTCTAACTCACTTACTCAACCGTCGAATTCGACCATTATACTCACGCTTTCTGCAATTTCTCTTTTTTTTTTGTTGCCAATGCTAAGTGTATGCAATAATTTGATATAGTTTGGATTATGAATGAAAATAATTAAAACAATGTAGTAGATTGTATTTAGAAGGAGTATTTCCACTTTTTCAAGAGAAATGTTCTACCTTACAAATCATTGGTTTGATCAAACTTTATTTTTTATTTCTTTAACTCATTCACTTTTTTGTATTTTCTATTTAAACACACATTTTTCATATAACGATATTTTTGCGGATATTGGGCGTTGTCTAATGAGTCAATCGCATACCATAATAGTTGTAGGTATGTATATATATATACACATGTGTGTATGTAGGTTTATATTCATATAAATATAGATTATGGACATAAATATTTAACTATAAAATTGGATAAGTTCATTGTCATCACTAATATGATTTTGTTTTTTTTTTAAAGTATATTATAAAGTGTGGTGAATAATTAAATTTTCAACTTTCAATCAAAAAAAAAGGTAAAAACGTGTATTTTTTAAAAGCATGTTTTGTCATAGCACAAAAACATTTTTTTCGCGATTTCCTCTTTACAAATTTCTAAATTTAATAATTTATAAATTCAAAAGCACTTTTAACAATCCCAACGAATATTTTCGAATTATTTAATTATTTTATTTTCGGCATGTTTTTATTTAAACAATTAATATTATAATTTGTGATAGATTAATTTTGAGAACAAATAATTATATGCAAACTGTACGGTCTAATTTAGCGAGAGTGTTGCACACGAGTTTCAAGTACATTAGCAAAGTTTTTGCTGACATACCTGATATAATGTAAACTTGGTTCGTAGACATGTTACCATACTATGATTTATTTTTTATTTCTTACCATATCGTTGTTGCTAAGATATGGTACAATAAATGCAATAATTCCCAAATTTAAATATTCCCAAATAATTTTCTAGTTCATTGTTTTGACTTCTTGAATCTAAATATTAAATTTCAATGAAATTGGTTGATAATTTCTCTAAAAAAGCGCACAAAAGTCAATTTTAAAAGTTAATTGGCTTGTTACATTGCCAGCCGAAACTAATTTCATATTATAATCTGTTGAATATTTTCTTACAAGTAATTTAAACTCCAAAATTGGTTTGTGGACCATTCAGGATATGTCATAATATATGTAATATGTAAATAAATATTCAGGGATATGTCATAATATATGTACATATATGTTAATAACTAAAAGTTGATCAACCCATGATATAGTCAAAAAAGCTTAAAGATATGCATAAATTTTCTTCAAAATCAATTCAGTCGAAATTGAGATATGCGAATATTCACACAGACCATCGGAACGTCAAGCCAACGTCTTGCTAAGTAACAAGGGGTTTTAAACAGGTTCGTTAATAATTGCATGATTATGATATTTTAACAAAATACGATAACAAAAATACGATCAAACAAATTTTTAAATTATGATCAATAATTAATATACTTCTATCTCTTTTTCAAGCTTCTATAGGCACAAATGTGTCAAAAAATTTTTAATGAGAAGGAGACTGACAAGGAATATCACATAAGGTATAAAATTTAAATTATTAAATATATTTTTATATTCAAATAATTTTTCAAAAGCAACTTTTTTTTAAGCAAACCATACACCAATATTTTCTATTTCCCCTTATCATTAAGAATTATCTATTCTTTTTTACATACCCCTGCCATTTAGTCTGCTCTGACATCAGTCAATTTTTCTATATTCATTTCAATTTCTCTCCTTCTATTTGTTTCTCTATCTCTTCAACTAAAATCTATTCGAGACGAGACGTTCACAATTTTAACTATACGAAAATAAAGAATCATCGGTCCCTTTTTTCGTTTTCTTTTTTTTTTTTGTTAAATTTCAAAGAAAAATAGTTAAATTCACAGAAATATAAATCATATGGACCACTCTTATTTAATCGTGAGAATGGTAAAAGCAAAAAAAAATAATGGTAAAAAAGATTTTCACAAAGAACATTATAGATTTAAAATTAAAGTTACAAACAAGTTAGATATTTAAATCTATGTATGTGTTAAAAACTAGACATAGAAATTTACAATTTTCATATACACATAAAGTATGAACAAAAAGAAATTTTTTTTTTGCGAAAAATTCGTAATTCGTATTCTTTTTTAATTTTAAAGAAATAATATAAAAAAAAAAACAAAAGTGGAAAAAATTTACAAGAAATTAAAAAAAATGTATGAAATAAGAATGAGAAATGAAATTAAACAGCAACAACAACAACTAAATAATGAAATTAAAAAAAAAGTACACATTTATTCTGACGCAAATGCGAATCAGCTAGCATTGAGAAGTAACAACAACAACAAAAACAACAATGCCAGCCGAAAGTTCGTTATCATATCAATTTTTCCTTTTTTTTTCACATCGCATCGCACTCATTTTTATTTCACATCGTTTTTCGATTACGCTTTTACGAATTTCTCTTTTTTTTTCTCTTATTTTACTTTCTTTTTTTTTCATTTTTGATTTCTGTTTTTTTTTTTTTTTTGTTGTCTAAAGTCTAAAGTTCAATGACCGAAAGCTCATTCTTTGCACATTTTTTTAGGGAACAAAAAAAAAGAAAAATTAAATATAATAAGAAAAACACATATACAAAAAAAACATACCATACATAACACTATTTATCTCATTCGTCTCTCAGACTCAGATTTTAACAAAAACAACAGCAACAACAACAACACCATTCCCAATAATAACAGCAAGCAACATTTAAAATATACAAACATTTATAAAAAAAAAAAAAAAGTCTACACCATTCCCAATATAAATCGTGTTGCCTGGATGAATAACTAGATGGCTGACTGCCTGCTTATAAAAAGTATGTAAATATCTAAATATATTGTATGTATGAATTAATTATATATATGTGTAAACATAACTATGTATCACATTATATAAATACATACATAAATATACATAAATATTCCTTCCTATCTAGCCGATTATTTGCCTCAATTCCTGACGATTTACCTTCCTTTCCCGGCCAACTAATATACTGGATTCCAGGCTGATAACTGGGAATTATTCATATATATACATATGTACATATGTATGTTATACAAGAAGGAATTTGTTACACAATGCAACATATTACACTTATTATTTATATGCATATATATATATAAAATTATTATATATATATATAATAATTTTATAAATATATATATATATATATATATATATATATATATATTTAAAATGAATAATGCATATAACGAAAATAAGGACTTTTCTTTATATTATTTTTTATATAGTATTTTACATATTTATGTACATACATATACTCGTA